CACCCCTGGGAGTGGTTTTGTGGAGCAAAGGGTGGGAGGAAGGAGCTGCCAGGGCTGGGAGCAGCCTCTTGTGATGAGCCTTCTCTCTGATAGCTGTGCTGGTGATGAGCAGCAAACTAAAGCCTCTAAGAAGTTGGCTGAAGAGGCTGTTCCTCAGGGCTCTGACCCTCGTCCTGCCCTTTGTCCCCGTGAACTGGGGCCTCCTCTTCCCTCAGAGGCCCTGAGGGAATGGGGCAGGAATGCTAAAAGCGGGTGTGAGTCTGGGTGTAGGAGGAAAGGGGGCAGATTTTGGGGCTGCCCCAGGGTGGGCAGGACAGGAGACAACCCCATGCTGGGCTGTGCAGGGGCAGCAAGGTGAGTGAGTTCCTGGGTGTTCCCAGGATGCTGGTGGAGGAAGGTGGGGAGCCCCGGGATGGTGCCTTGTGCCATCCCCTGCTGCCCCCCACCCTGACCCCCTGCCCTGCCCGGGTGTCCCCCCAGCTTTGGCCTGGCCCCAGCAGCTCCTCTCCAGGTCCACGCCCCGCTGGCCCCCAACCAGTCCGTGGAGATCTCCCTCCCCCTGAACACCGTCGGCTCCGTCATGAAGATGGACCCCCTCAACAACCTCCAGGTGGGCACCCCGGGGGTCTCTGGGCATGGGCAGGGCTGCTGTGGTGTTCCCTGGAGGGGGGGGTGGCACCTGGCTCCAGAGGGACCCGTGGGAGGGGGTGGGACACTTGCTCTGGGAGCCACCCCAGTGTTGAGTCGCCGTGTCCTCCCGCGCCAGGTCGCGGTGAAGAACAACATCGACGTCTTCTACTTCAGCACCTTGTACCCCCTGCACATCCTCTTCGTGGAGGACGGCAAGATGGGTGAGTGTCACCTGCCTGGGGGTGCCATCCCAGCCCCTGGAACCCTCCTGACCACGTTCCCCAGGCTGGCACAGCTTGTGAGCCCCCAAAAGCAGGTCACTGCCCCGCGCCCGGCCTTGGGCAGTGGCTGGAGAGGGTGCTGGGGTGACAGGGTGACATCCCTTCGCTGCCACCGGTGCTGTGCCCCTGTGTTGTCACCCTTGGGGGTGGCCAGTGCTGCAGCTCCATTGTGGGGTCGGTGTCCTTGCTCCCTGCAGAGAGGCAGATGTTCCTGGCCACTTGGAAGGACATTCCCAACGAGAACGAGACCCAGTTCCAGATCAAAGACTGTTCCCTCAATGCAGGTGGGTTCCAACCCTTGCTCAGGTCGTGGCTCATCCCAGTTATCCCAGGCCGTGGGAGCAAGAGTTCCTTCCCCCCGTGCCCACCTCATATTCCCAGGAAGGAGATGCTGCTTTTGGTGCCCTTGGCTTGCTGTAGGAACTTGGCAGGTTGGAAGCAGATGAGTTTTCAGGTCCCTTCCAACCCAAACCATCCTGTGATTCCGAGTCGCTCTGCCTGCTGGGGCTGTCCCTGCCCTGGGGGCAGTTGCTGTGCCCACCCTGGGATCATAAAACCATGGAATTGTTTAAGAAAAGACCTCCAAGATCATCAAGTCCAACCCTTCCCCAGCACTGCCAAGGCCACCATGTCCCCAAGTGCCACATCCATGTGGCTTTTAAACCCCGCCAGAGATGGGGACTCCATCAATGCCTCACCACCCTTTCCAGGGATAAATTTTCCCTAATATCCAACCTAACCATCACAGGGAGGGGAGGAGACGGGGCAGAAGCAAGTCCAAGGGGGGTTTGGATCAACCCAGCCCTGCCAGCCCCTCTCTCCCCTCCCAGATTCCGTGAGCAGCAAACTCCAAGGCAGCAACATCTTCACCATCGCCAAGAGGAACGTGGAGGGCCAGGACATGCTCTACCAGTCCCTGAAGCTCACCAATGGCATCTGGGTGCTGGCAGAGCTCCGGATCCAGCCCAGCAATCCCAGTTTCACGGTGTGTCCCATCCCCAGACCTGCTCCCGACCCCCCTGGGCAGCTCCCTGCCTTCCCTGCTCTGAGCCTGGGGAGGGCTGGGTGGCACATCCGTGGTGGTGGGACCCCCCCCCAGCTGCTGGTGGTGCTGGTGCCAGTCCTGCTGTCCCTCTGGCATGGGGAGGGTGACAATTCCTGCTGGGCTTCTCCATGGGAGCAGCTGAAGGACACAGAGAGCTCCCACCCCACCCTCACACCTCCGTTAAAATAATCCCCCATCCCCTCCTTGGAGCATCCCCATCCCTGCCCTGAACAGGGATGAGCCAACCCCGTGTCCTGCTTTCCCTGTGCCCTTCCCACGCCCCTCACAGCCTGGTTTTGGGGTTGGGATGGGCTGTGTGACCTTCACTCACCTCTCTGTGTCTCCGTCCCTGCTGCCCGCCCTCGCCGGCCCGCCCGCCCTTGCAGGATTTGGAGGTTAGCACACTGGTTTTTCCCTGGCTTTGGGCTCTCTCTGGCTGCTGCCTGGATTTTCCACCCTCCCCTGATTTTTTTTTCCCCCCTGCCCTGCCAGTCTCTTGGTGCCTCCTGCCTCTCCTTCAGGCAGGGCTGGCACGAGGAGCTGAACGTTTTGGAGGGTCGGGGTGTCCCTCCTGGGCTCACTGGGGTGAGGAGAGCTGCCAGTCCTTATCCCAGAGGATTCTCCCTGAGCTCTCCCTGCTCGAGGAGCCAATTGATTGCAGAACCATTTAATATTTAAGCAAACACCCAAAGGTGGCTCGTTCCTCTTCAGAGAGGAGGATGTTTTTGGGGAACCCTTCACCCCGGGGCACCAGGCACTGAATCCAACCCCTGCCTGCCCCCCTGCCTGTGCTGCATGTGGATGTGCTGCCCTGGGATGGTATTTTGGGGGTTCAGTGCCTTTAATATCCTTTTCCCAGCTGCAATAAGGAGCTGGATGCCCCTGTGGAGGAGGGGGTGCTGCAGCATGCAGGGTCTGCTTTGGGGCTGGTGACTCTCCAGTGTGGGGGGCGATGCCATGACCCCCCTCTTCCCTCTCTCCCACAGTTATCCCTGAAATGCCGAGCTCCAGAGGTGTCCCAGTACGTCTACCAGGCCTATGAGACCATCCTGAAGAACTGAGGTGCTGCTGCAGCCCTTCCTCCTCCTCCTCCTCCTCCTCCTCCTCGGCTCCCCTTCCCGCCCGAGGCAGCGGGGCCGGATCCATGTGCATGTCTCCTTTCCTTCCTGCCAAGGAAGCAGCCCCTGGGACTCTCCCCTTGCTGGTGGGGCTGGGGGGGCACAGGGGGGCAGAGGGGCTGCCCCCAGACCCTGATCCCTGTGGCAGTCCGTGTGTGAGCAATGCTGTGTCCTCCTCGCTGGGGTCGCTCCCTCAGGATTCCCTGTTTTCACCCTCTGGGAGCTGCTGTACCTGGGGGGGTGGGGGGGACCAAAAACCCACTTCCCCACTCCCCCTGGGTCTCTTGGAGTGGTGTCTGGTGGTGGGTTCAGCATTCCAAACCCTGGGAATAGCACCTGGGGGCTCTCTCCCAGCCTGGTTGGGGCCCTAAGTGCTGTGGGATGGGGGGGCTCTGGCTGCTGATCCCTGGAGCCCTGGGATTTGGGGCTCAGTGCCCCTGGAGCAGGTGGAAAACGGCGTTGGCTCCTTTCCCCTCTCTCCTGCCTCTCCCTGGTTTTGTCCCCTGGTTCAGCAGAGCCGTGGGTGAGCCCCCAGCCCTTCAGAGAGGGTCTCCTTCCCATGGCAGCCCTTTCCAAAGCTCCCAGAAGGGCTCGAGGAGCTCAAATTCGAGGCTGTACTTTATGTGCAGATAAAAAAAAAAGGCTTTTCCAGCCCCCCCTGTGGAGCTGGGAGGGCTCTGAGTGTCCCCTCAGCCCCTTCCCCCCCCTCAGCTCCCTCTGGATGGTTCCCTGGGGGTGACACTGCTCCTTTCCCTCCCAAATCAAGCCATGGGTCCCCCCTCCCTCGAAGCAGGAAATCTCTAATATATGGAAGATAAATCTATTGTGTGTTCACTGGTTTGAGGTGAATAAAGGTGACACCTGCCCATGGGGACACGTGGGGTGGCCCTGTCCCCGTGATCCCGAGGGAAGCAGGATGCTGGGAGCTTCCTGCCAGCACTGGCCTGGCCTTGCAGGGGAAGATAAGCCCAGCCTAGTGGCCATGGCCCAGCAAGGCCTGACACAGCACATGGCCCATGGCCAGGGGACACAGGTCACCCCTCGGGGACAGGAGGGGCCTGGGAGCTCCAGGCTCTGCTCCCAGAGCCCCTGATGGATCCACCAAGGCCCTGCACCCCGATCTGGGGGATGCTCGGGGTGCCCCTGAGCCCCTCCTGGGGCTGGGGACGAGCACAGGGTCACCAGGAGGTGTGGCTGGTCCCTGTGGGGTGGGGGACAGTCCCTGGTGAGGATGGGCAGCACCACTGAGCCCTGCTCTGGGAGATCCCACCAAGCACTGGCACCCCTGCCAGGCATCCTGCTGGGCACTGGTGCTGCTCTGGGGCACCCCACAGGGCACTGGAGCTCTTCTGGGACACCCCCTGGGACACTGGTGCTGTTCTGGGGCACCCCACAGGGCACTGGAGCTGCTCTGGGACACCCCATGGGACACTGGTGCTGTTCTGGGACACCCCCTGGGACACTGGTGCTGTTCTGGGGCACCCCACAGGGCACTGGAGCTGTTCTGGGACACCCCACAGGGCACTGGAGCTGCTCTGGGACACCCCATGGGACACCAGCCTCACTCCCAAGGGAGAGGCAGGACAGAGATCTGGGGACCTTTAGGACCCCCAAAGTCACAGCAGGATGGTCACCACCAGCAGAAACGGACCCCCTGGTGCCCCCCAACCTGCCCAGCCCCTGGAGCAGGTCCATGCTCCCCCCCTGGTGAGGGGTCTCAGCCATGGGGCACTTTGGGCTCCAGGGATGCCACTGGAGGGGTCCCAGACACAGCCGAGGGGTCCCCGTGGCTGCAGCGGGTGCAGGACATTGGGGACCACCCTCAGCCTGGCTCTCCACTGCTCCCAACCCTCCTGGGGCCCCCAGAGCCCCCTCCCTTGGGTTTGGGGGGTCTGACCCCCCAGACAGACGAGCGGACGCGGCGGGCGCAGCTCCCTCGGTCTTTACTGGCTTGGGGGGACATGCAGGGCCCGAGGGGTGGGGGCCACGGGGGGCACAGCCCTGTCCCACCCTGGGGACATCATCCCAGCAGTGCTGGGGCCAGAGGGGACACAGTGACCCCCTCCTGACCTCAAATCCGGGTTGTGGTGACAAGCTGCACGTCCCCAAGTCATCTCAGGGGTGGAGGGAAGAGGAGGGAGAGAAGAGAGGTGGGAGATGACCAAGAAGATGAAAAAAACAAAAAAGCAACCAAGAAGGTGATGATGACAAGGGGACAAGAAGGCCAAGAAGAGAAGAAGACAAGAGGAGGACAAGGTCAAGAAGAGAAGGTGATGATGAGAAGGACACAAAGGCCACGGAGGAGAAGACAAGAGTAGGGAGAAGGCGACCAAAAGAAGAGTAGAAATATGAGAGAACATGAGAAGATGAGGAGGAGGATGACAAGAATAGCACGAAGAGGAGGAGAAAACAAGATGAGAAGAATGAGAAGAGATGAAGAGTCCCAGCTGAGCAGAGCCAGGGGCTCTCCAGCCCCATTCCCAGGTGCCAGTTCTGCTCTGGCCACCTCCACCATGACCACACCACCACCCCCATGGAGCTGCTCCCCGGGGACTGGGGGCACACCCGGGGCCCTCTGGGCCTGCCTGGGGCTGGGGGCTCCTCGCAGGGCCCACCCCCCTGCCAACAGTCACCGGGTGAAGGCGTCCTGCCCGCCCCCGGGCCACGTCCATCGCGTCTCCACACGGGTGCCACCTCCAGTGGCCGCTCCGGGATGTCCCCAGGGGGTCCATGGCCACCTCTCACGGCCACGTGTCCTCCTCCAGCCCCTCGCGCTCCCGCGGGGCCCAGGGGGGCTCCAGCAGGGAGGAGAAGACGCTCTGCAGGGCCCCCCAGGCCTTGGGGCTGCCGTTGTGGGGCCGGGGGGTCCCGACCCCGTAACCCCTCGGGGTGGGGATCCGGGACGGCGCCTTGTGGGGCTGCGTGTCCAGCCGGGGCTTGGCCCAGGGCCGCCGCGGGGGTGTGGAGACCCCCGGGGCGAGGAGGGTCTCCTCCATCTCCAGCAGCTCGTCCTCCCCGGGCGCCCAGTCGGTGTCGGAGCCGGGATTCCCGGGAGTCTCCCGGTTGTCCCAGGAGGCCGGGAAGCAGCAGCTCTCGTCGGAGGAGCTGGAGAGGGTGGAGCGGCGCCTCACGTCCCCCATGGAGGGGTTGGACGGCAGCGTCGGGGGGCACAGCCCGTCGTTGTTCCCGTTATTCCCGTTGTTGTTGTTCCCGTCGCTGTTCCCGCTCCGCCGCCCGTCCTCGGCGGGCAGCCCGTGCTTGGCGAACACGTTGAGGGAGGAAGACGAGGACGACGAGGAGCAATAGGCCGAGTCGGCGGTGGCGGGGGGCGCGGGGGGGCTCTCGGTGTCCCCCAGCTGCTCCAGCAGCCGCGTGTTGGCCAGGAATTCCTCCTCCAGCCGCTGGAACAGCCGCTGCTCCTGCCCGGGCTCCAGCCAGCGCGGGGCCCGCAGCCTCCGCGCCAGCTCCTCGGGGTCCCCGGGGCCGGGCCGGGGGTCCCGCCGCCCCCCGGGAGCCCCCGCGGGTGCAGCGGGGGGCTCGGGCCGTGCCCACGAGTGCTGCCCGTCGGGGCGGCGGCGGATGAGCAGCAGCGGAGCGGGGCCGCGCCCGGGGCTGCGGGAGGCGCGGGGGGACCCGCGGGGGGACGCGGCGGCGGCGCGGGGGGCGCGGGGGGACCCCGGCGCGGGGTCCGGGGGGGGGTCCCGGCGGGCGGGGGGGCGGCGGGATCCGCTCTGCGCGGAGGCGGCCGAGGAGTCGCTGTCGCCCGAGCAGCGGCGGGAGCGCGCGGGGGCGCGCGGCCTGGGGGGGGGGCGGTGAGCACCCGGCTGTGCCCACCCCCCCCCTCAGGGTACCACCCCCCACTGAACCCCTCCGCTCATTGCAGCCCCCCAAGCTACCGCCCCATGGGACCCCTCCCCCCCTACACCCCTCTCCGTGGAACCCCACCAGTGAAACCCCCTCTGAACCCCCCCATTGCAACCCCCATTGTACCCCCCCACTGAACCCCTCCATTGCACCCTACCCATTGAAACCCCCACTGCACCCCCAATTGCACCCTACCCATTGAAACCCCCATTACAAACCCCCCACTGAACCCCCCCATTGCATCCCACCCATTGAAACCCCCATTGCACCCCCTCACTGAGCCCCCCCTTTGCATCCCACCCATTGAAACCCCCACCGCACCCCTCCCTATTGAACCCCTCCCCATTCTCCCCCATGGCACCCCACATTCCCTCCCTTGATCCCATTTCCCTCCCCGTTGCCCCCCTCCACTGATCCCCCACTTAACCCCACACTGCACCCCCATTCTCCCCCCTTCACTCCCCATCCCCCCTCCCTGCACCCCAGATTCCCTTCACTGAACCCCATTTCCCTTCCCTTGTCCCCCACTGTATCCCTCCATTAACCCACCCTGTTGAGACCCCCCCATTCTCCTCCTTCACCCCCATTCCCCCTCACTGCACCCCCATTGCACCCCAAATTCCCTCCATTGCACCCCATTACCCTCCATTGCCTCCCCCACTGCCCCCCATTGAACCCCACATTGCACTCCCCTATTCCCTCTCATTGCACCCCCACCACACCCCACTTTCCCTCCATTGCACCCCATCACGTCCCTATTGCCCCCCTTTATTAAGCTCCCCCATTTCCCCCTTCACCCCCATTCACTGCACCCCCACTGCCCCCTACATTCCCTCCCTTGCACCCCATTTCTCTCCCCACTGCCCCCCATTGCCCCTTTCCATTGAATCCCACACTGAACCCTCCAACTGCACCCTCGTTCTCCCCACATCACCCCCCATTCCTCCTCACTGCACCCCCACCACACCCCACTTTCCCTCCATTTAACCCCATGGCCCCCCCACTGCACCTCCATTAACCCCAAATTCCCCCCCATTCCCCCCCCATTTCACTCCCCACTGAGCCCCATTATCCCCATTCCACCCTCAGTCCCTCCCATTCCCCCCACTGCCCTCCCAATGACTCCCCTGCTCCTCTCCCTCACTGCACCCCCCACTGCCCCCCATTACCCCCCCAGTACCTCCCATTCCCCCACTGCACCCCCAGTGACCCCTCACTGCACCCTCATTCCTCCTCCATTGCCCCCATTAACCTCCCATTCCCCCCTCTCTGCTCCCCTCCAACTGCCCCCATTAACCCCCCTACTGTCCCCATTCTGCCCTCACTGCAGCCCCCACTGAGCCCCCACTGCCCCCCCAGTGATTCCCCCATTTCCCCCTCATACCATCCCTCCACTGCCCCCCAGTACCTCCCACTGCCCCCCAATGATTCCATCTCCCCTTCACTGCACCCCCCATCGCCCCCAGTATGTCCCACCGCCCCCCCATTCCACCCCCCAGTATCTCCCACTGCCCCCCCATTCCACCCCCCAGTACCTCCCACTGCCCCCCAATGACTCCCCCATTCCATCCTCCCTGCACCCCTCCACTGTCCTCCCCCACTGCCCCCCACCCTCCCTAACTGCACCCCAAATTCCCCCACTGCACCTCTCCATTGCCCCCCCAATGATTTCCCCATTAACCCCTTCCATTGCCCCCCATTCCCCCTCATTGCACCCCCACATTGAGCCCCCACTACCCCCCAATTCCACCCCCAGTACCTCCCACTGCCCCCCACTGATTCCCCTACTCCCCCCCCCATTGCCCCATTAACCCCCATTCCCCCCCCGAGCCCCCACTGTCCCCGCTCCCCCCGGGGCTGTGTTTTGGGGTCCCGGGGGTGCCGTACCTGGCCGTGGGGGTCCCGCGGGGCTCCGCGGGGCTGCGGGAGGGGCTGTTGGAGCCGGACGGGGGGGCCGCCCCCCCCCGGGGGGGCAAACACTCCTGCCTGGGCGGCTTCGGGGGGTCCCCGGCCCCCCTGGGCTGGTGGCCCCGCTCGGTCCTGCCGTGGCCACTGTCCCCCCCGGCGGGGGGGGGCCCGGCGGGGCGGGGGCGCCGGGGGGTGCTGGGGCTGGAGGCGCGGGACGAGGGGGGGCCGGGGGCTGCTTTTTGGGGGGACACGCCCAGGGGGCGCGGCTGGGGCAGGCGGTGAGCTGGAACCGAGAGGGGGGAGCTCAGGGGGGGCCCTCGGCACCCCCCCTCAGCACCCCCTTCAACAACCCCCCTCGGCACCCCCTTCAACACCCCCCCTCAGCACCCCCCCTTCAACAACCCTCCTTCAACAACCCCCCTCAGCACCCCCATCCCAGCACCACCCCCCTCACACCCAGCTGTATCCCAGGATGTGGGTGAATTAATTTGGGAACCCCCCCCCCCACCTGTCTCGCCCCCTTTTTCCCTTCAGCGGGATCAGCTCCCTGAGGAGCTCAGCCCCAGGGAATGGGGCCATGTGGAGGGCCAGGGAATGGAGACTCAACCACAGGGAACCAGGGAATGGGGCCCCAAGGAGAGCCAGGGAATGGACCCCCAAGGAGAGTCGGAATGGGGCTCCATGGACAGCCAGGGAATGGAGCCTCACGTAGAATCAAGGAATAGGGCCCATCAGGGAACAAGGGAATGGAGCCCCATGGAAGAGAGCCCCACAGAGAGCCAGGGAATGGGGACCCAAGGAGAACCAGGGAATGGAGCCCCAAGGAGAGCCCCACAGAGAAGCAGGGAATAGAGCCCCAGGGAGATCCAAGGAATGGGGCCACAAAGAGAGCCAAGGAATGGAGCCCCATGGAGAACTACGGAACGGGGCCCCAAGTAGAATCAGGGAATGGAGCCCCATAGAACAGAACTCCATGGAGGAGTAGGGAACAAACCCCCATGGAAAGCCAGGGAACAGACCCCGAAGAGAACCAGGGAATGGGGTCCCAAGGAGAACCAGGGAATGGGGTCCCAAGGAGAACAAGGACTGTCAGACCGTGCCAAGGCGGGGGGCACAGGGTGGGGGTGTGGGGGGTCCCGGGGGCACTCACAGAGGGCAGCACAGCGACACGGGTCGTGCTTGTCCAGGTAATGTTCCAGTGTGTCCCAGCCGCCACCAACGCGCACCATGACGTGGCTCCTCAGCACCTGGGGGCGGCCCCACTGTCACCCTGCCCGTCCCCCCTCCTCGGGGGGGCCCGCAGAGCCACCACCAGCCCCCCCAGGACCTCGAGGTGGGCAGGAAATCCAGCTCGGGGTCCCTCGGGATGGGAGGAGGAGCGGGGGGGGGTCCCGGCGTTCGGGGGGCAATGGGGTGGGGGACGCGGGGGCTCTTACTCGGACAAAGATGAGCGTGTTGGAGTCTCCCACTTTGTACTTCCCCTCGGACACCTTGACCATGGGGAATTGCGAGGGGCAGGAGCAGCAGCCCAGGATCTCCCGCACCTGCGGGCACGGAGGGGAGGGGTCGGTGCGGCGCGGACCCCCCCGCTATAGGGCGGTCGCACTATAGGACCGACCCCCCAGACCGTGGTGGACCCCCCATCAGCTATAGGGCGGTCGCACTATAGGGCCAGCCCCCCGGATAGGGGTGGACCCCTCAGCCCCCCAGCTATAGGGCGATCCCACTATAGGGCCGACCCCCCAGACCGTGGTGGACCCCCCCATCAGCTATAGGGCGGTCGCACTATAGGGCCAGCCCCCCGGATAGGGGTGGACCCCTCAGCCCCCCAGCTATAG